ATCACTTGTTGTTCCCTTGTCCCTGGGTTTGTTAACACCCACTTCCTCCCCCCCACCCACCTCCCCTTCTCCCATGTCTCCCAGGAATTGTTGGTCCCATTGTTTTCTTCTCCAGATTCTTTATCCCACCTATCTTATTTAGAGAGAACTGGAGAGATAATGATATGCACAAAAACAAGACACAACAAAACAAAGCAACGAAAGAAAACAACAACAAACCAATGGCCAAAAAAAGAAAGAAAAGCCTTTAAATAGTTCAGGTCTGTTTGTTGACCTTTAGGGGTGTTTTCAGGCCCAGTCTGATGGGGGGCCAAGCCCTGACCTCAAAGTCTATTTTTGGTATTCCCTGGGGACTTCATTGCTCTGTTCCCCTTGTTGTTCTGTTGCACGCCCTTAGTGTTTTCGGTGTGGTGGGATCAGATCAGGCACAATTCCCACACTGTGTCGTGTTGTCCCCTGTAGGGCTATGAGTCAGTGAGGGATGTCATGTCTCATAGTGGGGCCAGCCATATGTTCTTCTCTGTAGATTGGCTGCTCTGAGCAGGAATATCATCCTCAAGGCTTGGTGGGCTGTGATGTGTTCCACTCTCTCTTCCTCCTCCTTCATTTGCCCCCATGTGCTCTGATCAGACCTGTCCCTCTCCCTGAGCTGTAGCTTCAGTACTGTCCTTGGAAGTACATTATTCTGGGGGGAGGGGTGGCTGTCCATGTAGTTGGGATTGGGGCTGGCCCCTCAGACCTCTCTGCTGGTTCCCGATAAGACACCTTTTGTGTGCAGGTTCCCTTTCCCCTCCCCCATCTCAAGGTTAAGACTAGGTTGCCTGTTCTCTGGATTTGGGCAGGGGGCATGGGGTGGGGTGCATAGGCAGGCCTTTTGGTTGTGCTCTCACATCTGCCTACACTGCACCCAGAGCTTCTCAGAGGTTCCACCTGGCAGATCAATCCTTCCACAATCCTTCTCTGTCCTCCTCTGACCACCCCTGTACCCTGCCATATGGCTTCATATGCTCTCTCTCTTCTAAATATGTGCCGTAATGTTCTTGTTCCCTGATGGCTCTTCTTAATAAATGAATACAAATGAAAGGAAAGAGTCATTTTAGTGGGAAACGAATAAGCAAAACAAAAAGCCAAACCTGTTACAGTTGCGTTGATCCGACTCATAATGACCCAATATGACAGAGTAAAACTGCCCCATTGGGTTCCCCCAAAGGCTGTTATCTTGCCGGGGGGCTGGGGGGGGGGCAATGGCAAAGTGCTCAGCTGCTAAGTGAAAGGTCAGTGGTTTACACCACCAGCCCCTCTAGAGGAGAAATCTGCGGCAGTAAAGACGACACCCTTAGAAACCTGATGAGGCAGTTCCTCTGAGCTGTCGGATTGCTGTGATTCAGAATCAACTGGATGAGAATGGGATTGGTTTAGTCTTGAATCATATGGAAGCAGACTGCCACATCTTTCTCCTGCCTGATCGGAGTGGCCAGTGGGGTGGAACTGCCAGCCTTTTGGTTGGCAGCTGAATGCTTAACTGCTACACCACCAGGAATCCTTAGGAAACTAATGGGTCATCTCTAGTTTAATCTATCAATAAAGACTGGATTATTCCTTTGTGACTGGGCTAAGATTGGGGGATATACTTGTCAGTGAGGCAAACATGGTTCCTGTTCCCAAGGGGCTTATATTGTCATGAAGGAGAAAGTAAAAATGCAAATAAGCAATACAACGAAAGGAACTACAAATGGAGACAATGTTTAGGAAAGAAATGCACAAGGGCTCAGAGAAGGGTCAGGAAGGGACCAATTTAAATGATAGATCACTGCAGAGTACGTTGTTTGAAGGAAACTTTAGGATTGGGAACACGTTTGTAGGATAAATGAAAAAAAAATGAGATAACATGAACAGCAATGGGTAACATC